TATTTTACTATATCACTTTTAATGTCTATTTTTCTGGTTTATTCTTTCCATATCCCATTTCCAATAATTAATTATTCCTACCTATACCTCCACATCGTTGTTACTGATCTCTCACTGTCCTTTTCACCCTTTCCACCTAAGATAGCTTGAGTTCAAAGAGAAAGTATTTTAATGGTTCTCAGATATACTCTCTTATTTGTTTTGAATCTTCATCCCTTTATTTTACTTGCCTGTGAAAATCACAACATGGTTTTTTTAAGATTAATTTATTTTTATTGCAAAGTCAGATATAGAGAGAGGAGCAGAGACTGAAAGGAAGATCTTCCATCCAATGATTCACTCCCCAGTGGGTGCAATGGGCAGAGCTGAGCCAATTTCAAGCCAGGAGCCAGAAGCCTCTTCCTGGTCTCCTACAAGGGTACAGGCTTCCAAGGCTTTGGGCCGTCCTCGACTGTTTTTCCCAGGGCACAACAGGGAGCTGGATGGAAGCAGGGCTGCCAGGATCAGAAGTGGTGCCCATATGGGATCCCAGCATGTGCAAGGCGAGGAATTTAGCTGCTAGGCTATCATGCTGGGCTCAAATTAGTGTTTTTAAACAGAATGGATTCGATAGAGTAACCATTAATGAGGTCAATAACGAATAAAATCATTCATGATTACCTTGAAGTGCTACTGAGCTGGGGATTTCAGACGAATATTGACATTGTTAATGTAAGAGCCCCCCTCCTTTTATTTTTACTATAAATGTCACTCTCTTGGAAATTGCATAATATCACTAAATTTCTCACTTGGACATATTTTAAGTCAGTGGCTAATAGTGAAGCAAGAGCATTATTCACAGCCAAATGTTAGCTACTTCAGGTATGTGTATTTGTAATACCCTCTCTCTACATGAGTTGACAAAAGCAATGATCACTTCATTAAAAACGTTTTCAAAACCACTGTGTTGTGAGTGTGTGTGTGTGTGTGTGTGTGTGAGCATTTCTTACCATGGTACATCCAAGGGATAATACTCACAAATTGTCCCACCCTCATCATTCCCAATTGCTTGCTAAGGCCTGTTGCACAAATTTAAAAGTCTGAGTAAGGGGCAGACACTGGGGATTAGCAGGTATACTTGCCAGCTGCAACACTGTCATCCCATATAGGCGTTGGTTCAAATTCCAGCTCTTCCACTCCCCATCCAGCTCCCTGCTAAATGAGTCTGGGAGGGCACCAGAGGATGATTCAATTCCCTGGGTCCCGCACACCCAAGTGGGAGACCCGAGGGCTTCTGGTTTCAGCTATTATGGCCATTTGTGGGGAAGTAAGCTGGTAGGTAGAGAATCTTTCTCTCCGTTCCTGACTCCCTCCCTCCCTTTTTCTTTCTCTGTAACTTTTCATTTTAAATAAATACCTTAGATTCCACCCAATATATTTTGCCACCACAGGTGGATCTGTGCAAAATATAATCCAAAGCTTTCTTTTAAAGTAAGCAGATTGTCAGCTGAGAGGACCTAGAAGCAGCAATACCCCAGCAGTGGTGAGTAAACCTTCTACCCAAATCTTGATTTCTAATACCATTTCCAAGGAAAAGGAATTGGTATTCCTTGGAAAAAATAGATAATTCTAGGATTGGGGCAGGAGAAACACAACAGAGGCAGGGAGTATCATTTTATGATTAATACCAAAGAAAAGGGCCGGCGCAATGGCCTAGCAGCTAAAGTCCTCGCCTTCAATGCGCCAGGATCTCATAGGGGCACAGGTTCTAATCCCGGCAGCTCCACTTCCCATCCAGCTCCCTGCTTCTGGCCTGGGAAAGCAGTCAAAGATGGCCCAAAACCTTGGGACCCTGCATCCATGTGGGAGACCTGGAGGAAGTTCCTGGATCCTGGCTCCGGATTGGCATAGCATCGGCCGTTGCACGCACTCGGGGAGTGAATCATCGGATGGAAGATCTTCCTCTCTGTCTCTCCTCCTCTCTGTATATCTGACTTTCCAATAAATAAATAAATCTTTAAAACAAAGCCAAATTAAAGAAAAATAACAACAACCACCAAAAAAACATAAAACATCCCTTCACAAGGGTAATATCAAGAAGACAAATGAGTCAAACATTTTCCAGTTGGCAAAGGTAAATAATTTCTATAAACGAATAGTGTATTATAACAGGGTTATAACTCCTGTGTAATAGGAGAATACATAAATCAATACTGATATAAGTGAAGCAATAAGTATCTGGAGAACACACACATGTATACAAACACACTCCACAAAATTACAAATAATTTATGCAGAGATAGCACATTAGAAGGTTCAGGGTTAGTCTCCAGTCCTTAAGTGTGAAGGAATAATGGCTTTCTTACCAAGAATACTACAGGGAAAGGATAAATCAAGAGTAACTTTAACAAGGGAGAAAGGCAAATGCTCTTTGAATCTAGGTCTTCAAGGTTAGCACCAACATTGTTAAGTGCAGTTGATAATACGTTCCCAATATATAATGCGATGAGAATGGTATTTTAATTATGAGGTCTTTGACCCCAAAAGTCACTGCTCCAGTCTAACCATGAGAAAAATGCCAACTACATTCCAATTCAGGAACATTCTAAAAAATATCTAACCAGTATATCTCAAGATGTCAAGGTCATCAAGACCAAGGAAAGTGAGAAACTGCCAGGACAAGAAGAGCTTAAGGAGACATGACAAGGAAATGTAGTATGGAATTACAAATGGGATTCTAAAATAGATAAGAAGACATAAAGAAGAAACACGAAGTCTGAAGTGTTATAGATTTTAGTTGATACTATGTATGACCATTGCTTCATTAATTTTAACAAGTGTACAATTTGCTGTTAAAAAAAAACCGCTTTGTATATAAAGGGAATATCTATCTTACTTTCAATAATTCTCTAAGTATAAATTTATTCTAAAAGGCAAAAGTTCACTTAAAAGCGGATCAGGGATTTTTGTCACAGCCTTTTTCGTAAGGACAAAGAAACTAAAAGCAACATCTATGATCATGGATAAGGAAATGGTTGACTAAAACTGCCGTTTCCAGACTACACATTAAGCAAAGAAGATGGCTATTATGTATTTCAAAGAGTGGGGGAGCTTTCTTTAATGGTTTTGTAGTGAATTCCAAATTGCATTCAGAGACATCCAAGATTGTCCTTTTGTTTTGTAGCACAAGGAGCAGGAAATCCCCAAGTAAACATATTTGCATAAGTAAAAGTCTCCAGAAAACTGAGACACAGGCTAAGTTGTTAATGATGCTAGAAGTAGTAGCATGGGGTTAGAGGGGAGAAGGGAGTAGCAAGGCTAAGGAAATAAGCACAGCAAGGGAATGAAGAAATAACTAATTGACTAAGTCTTGATAACCTTACTACCTTTGCACGTTTATACTAGCCTGAAGCTCCACAAATGACAGTTGAAATTCGTGAAAACAAATAAATTAAGCTAACAGGCAAGTAGGAGAAAAGACAGTTCTGAATGGCATCTTTTAAGGACAGTAGGGGATGGAGAAGAGTTTAGCCAGCACAGTAGCAGCACCCTAGAGAATACAGTGTCAGTCACTAAAGCCGAATTACACCTAGTTTTCGATTTTGCCAAGAGCTGCCCAAGTAGAAGAAAATATTGCTAAAGATGTGAGCAGAATGACTGCTGCTTCTGCTAACATCCTGGAGACCCTGCTTACCACAGACTGAACTCACCATTTGCTCCCCTGACCCTCCACCCCCACTCCACAGTGTTTCTTAAAGCACCGAGAAAGGCCTTCTATTTATTCAACGCTTGCTCTTCTGGCCTTTTTCACAATGAGGCCTCACTAGAGGCTTTCAAGTCCTTTTGATGAAGAAGAGACATAGCTTTGGCATCAAAGCCCACAGTCGCCAAAAATAGGGAGGGTCTGCATTTCCAAGAAGTAAAAATCAAACAGCAGAGGGCAGGTCCCTGGTGAGCAAGATCAAAGACTCCTAAAATGACAGAACTGAAAAGCGGTTTAAAGGTCTTCCCAGTTAACTATTTCAACATATAATCCAGTGGCTATCGGAGACTCTAGATCCTAGATCCCAGTTATAAGGTGGCGGATAAGACAAACAGCTTCTCACTGTAAACTTCCTAACAAGCAAGAGTTGTGAGCGCCAACACCTGCCTGCTAAATATCCAAACTCGGAATGTCTGTGTGTTTAAGGAATTGAATAGTCAGACATAGTGTCTGAAACTCAGGCTGCAAATTCTGTGAGGGATTTCACCAGTGGCTGATGTATTTAGAAGACTTCTCAGAAGCATTTGAAGGATTCTCCAACAGTAAGTAAGGCTAAGACCTTGGCCCCACCGTCATTCAGTGTCATTATCATGGCCAGATACACAGTTCATCAAACCAACATTGTACATGTAAAAACCACTGTTGGGACCCTGGCACAAGGGTAGGGCTGGATAAGAAATGAATCATAATGTTTTCTAAACTGAATGAGCACATATAGGAGAAAAGAGTTCTAACTTCTGAAAATCAGAAAAGAATATGCTATGCTGTAAGACAGTTAGACAGGAATGCACTGAGGTTTCACTGGCACTGCAACAGTTCCAGAACACATCTGCTCTATAACATGAGCCAAACGTGCAGGCTTTCTGCCCCAAAGTACCATGGGGCTGGCATGGTAGCTCAATAGACTAATCCTCCACCCTGAGGTGCTGGCATTCTAAGTGTGCACCAGTTCATGTTCTAGATGCTCTACTTCTCAACTCCCTGTATATGCTTAGAAGGCGGCGAGGCATCACTCAAGTCTTTGGGCCCTTGTACCCATATGGAAGACCCAGAAAAGAGCTTTGGATCAACTCAGCTCTGGCTGTTGGGGCCATTTGGGGTGTGAACCAACAGACGGGAAATCTCTGTTTCTCCTCTCTCTGTAAACAAATAAATAAATAAACAACTATCTTTTAAATAAAAACACATTAGAAAATTTAAAAAGAAGCCCCAAAGACTATGACTGTGTGGTTATGGAATAGTTTCACATAACACTCACCTTAAAACACAAGTGTAGAATCCACTATCCTGTTCCTCGGCTGAGTGAAACCATATGGAATCTTCTTCTTTGCTCATCCGCACCTCTGAAAAGATGATGGGCTCTTCTAAATCACCTTTGTTTTTGTACCACATGAGCCGGAGCCCAGTGCTCTGGGCCATGCTGTAGTTGGTGCGAATGTAACTGTAGAAAAGGGCGCATTTCACACGGACAGGTTCACCTGCCAAAGCCATGTATGTCTTGAGGTCCACCGACCAGTCAATGCAGCCATCCACTGAAAGAAAACCAGATGAGGCATGAGATGCAATACTATTAATAATAAAAGCATTGCCAACATGTAGTAAAGAGCTTTGGCTGAGCTAGGCACAGAGTCAAGCGTTCCGCATAGATGACTTTGGGAAATCTCTCCGGTGACCCTAAGAAACAGATTGGAATCTTGCTTAGCAGACAGAACACTGGTTCTAGCCATGGACTTTCATAGTGTTTTCCAATTCTCTACAGCAGCTTCCTGCTTAAACAAGATCCCCCCAAGGAGCTCTAGCACTTGTGTAAATGGAGTTGGCCCCAAGCTGGCTAGATCCCAAATTCCAACCAAGTGATGCTGTTGGACACAGTATTTCTTTCAGAGTCATGCGGAAAGGGGTTGCTAGAATGGCAGATAGGTTGCTTTTAGATGACCCAATTTGTTTATAAATGCAAAGAGCTCAATGAAACAATTATTTCCAAGAGATCTTGCATAGCCTATGAGAAGGGATGTATGTGATTAATGCTTTTATTCTCATACAACAGATGAGGACATTGAGAATCCAAGAACTTAAATAACTTTTCCCAAAAGCTAGTAAGTAGCAGAAAATCACTCACTGATCCAGAGACATTGTTTATAACCCTGGTGTTAAAAAGCTTACGTCTATAATTATGACAAAAATCATTGTGCTACTTATTTGCCTTTGAAAAGATAAAATGCTAGGGTTGGAAGCAGTGGACACCTAAAGTGATTATTTGCTATTACACACATGCCACTTTTCTACAATATGACCTATTAATAGAAGATATTGAATCACAGGTCAATTGCTCTTTATACCCTCAGGCCTTTGAGACTGCTTAGTAGGTGTTTGGTTGTGGGAATATATTTGTATTAATGTCAAATTGTATTAGCTAGGCAAAAATATCCTCTTCTAGAAGGGTCAGAAATCAGAGATTGGCAAATGTAACATGCTAGTGAATGTAGTTAGCATCAGTACTTTACACCCAATTGCTTATTTAAAAAAAAAAAGTTCACTAAATTATGCTACATCCCTTTATATTACCTCATTATCCTTTATAAAGGCATGTCATAACATTAACACTTGCATTTGAAAATTATATGTTTCACTTAATCATTTTGCTAACTGATCTGCTTCCTTTTTTAAATCAAGAGAACACTTAACACAGTGTATTTAATGTTCTAGCAGTAGCTAATGTGAAGTTCAAAACTATATGAAATATACAAGTGCAGTACTTATCTCTTGATTTTGCCTTTTCTATATAGATAGTTCTAGAACTGGAGTTCATGACCACTCAAGGAAAGAATGCCCAGATAAAGCTCCAGGATCCTGGTAAAACAATGTGCCTATCTGCACATGTATATGCTTTAAAAAATATTATTTTTGATGGTATTTAGATAGTTGATCAGGTTGGGAAGGGTCAAGGATCAGGGAAGAGTGGGCAAGACCACTGTTTCCACATTATCTTTTTCTTCTTGCTGTATCTCCAGGAGGGGAGGATACAAGGGGAGAGACCACACCAAGCCTCCCCAGTACAGGGTCCCTGTTGCAGAGGATGTTCTGAGGGTTCTACTCAAGTGGTTTCAATAGTTCTGAGATGTTGTTGGTATCACCTTTCAAAGGCTGAGGAAATCCTTCCAGAGTCCACCAGAGTCTCCATTCTATATATGCATACATTTGGGGGAAGATGTTAAACAATTCATTTAAAATTTCAAAGGGTTCTATAGCCTCAGGAAAATTCTGAGCTCTGAAATTTCTGATTTCTTTTTCTGATATCATTGCTCACTGCCCACTCATACAAGGGTTTCTATTATAGACTGCCTCAACGTTTCTTATGGTCTGTGAAGCATTCATCTAAATAACCAGTATACTTCAAATTTATACTGAAAGACAGCTGAATATTATTTAAGGATTCAGAGTTACTGTTAGGTCCAAAAGATCCCCGAACCACAGACAGACAGGTTCTACACACAACAATGCAAAAGCAAAGAAACTGCCTTGTTAGCTCGAGCTAGGGTCCATGTCTCATCCATCACAGTGGAGTTTTGACAAGGATCCTGCTTATCTCTTGCAAAATGTTTTTATTCCCTCCTAGTCACGTATAACACGTCTCCAGCAAGCAGTTCTTATCTTGGTCATGTATAACTCATAGCAGTGTAGGTCACATTCCATTTGTGGATATTCGGATGCCCCTGACTGACCCATCTCCAAGGTTGCTGTCTCCAACCCCCACCCATATCATCCTGGGGAAAATGTAACTTCGAAGTGAGACTTAGGCCCATTATGGAGTCAGTCCTGTTCTTTATGCAGCAAAGCCAAGCAATGATTACAGAAACCAAATATAGTGGTTATGCTAACAGTTAAGAAACTCCCTTATCACTACTGGTTGTTAAGAGTAAATCCCTGCCACCCAACCTTGCACCCCGAACTCCAAAGTACCACATTCATCACAAAAAGTTTTGACAACCTGGGTTCACTCTTTAAACTAAGTACAGTGGATTAGACTAAATATGTACTGTCCACTAGATAGCTCTTAGAGGGCCTTTTGATTCCATTTTTAAAGATTTATTTATTTATGTTTATTGAAAGGCATATTTACAGAGAAGAGATACAGCAAGAAAGGTCTTACATGTGTTGGTTCACTCCTCAAGTGGCTGCAAAGGCCAGAGCTGAGCTGATCCAGAGGCAGGAGACAGTAGCCTCCTCCAGGCCTCCCAGATGGGTGCAAGGTTCCAAGTCTTTGTGCTATCCCCTACTGCTTTCTCAGGCCACAAGCAGGCTGGATGGGAAATGAAACAGCTGGGACACAAATGGGTACCCATGCTATCCCAGCATGTGCAAGGCGAGGATTTAGCCACCAGGCCATCAGGCTGGGCCTTGCTTCACTTCTTGTTATTGGCTTATTTATCTGTTAATTTTTTTCTATCACACTAGTCAAGAGCAGACAGGAAAAAATTTAAATTAGTTGGCTTTTCTCAGTCAGGATAAATTGCAAACGATAGTTCCCTGGATTAAATGCGATTTTAATATTTATTTTAATATTTGGCTGAAATACGGCATCCCACATGGGCATTAGTTCATGTATAGGCTACTCTACTTCCAATCCAGTTCCCTACTAATGGCCCGAGAAAAGCAGCAGATGTCCAAAGTACTTGGGCCCCTGCATCAACATGGGAAGACTTAATGAAGCTTCTGGCTCCTGGCTTTGGCCTGGCACAGCCCCAGCAATGTTACCATTTCAAGAATGGATTACAAGAGGGAAGATTCTTTTCTCCTTTCTCTCTCTCCCTCTATCTGTTTCAAACTAATAAACAAATCATAAAAGGAAATAGCATATTCTTTTATAGCTTTAAAGTGTTTCAGTTTTTGTTTTACCTAATCCTAAGATACACTGTAAGCGCTTTTAAATTAACAAATATAACAAGATAAAATAGCGCCAAGCTCCAAAATTATCTTCTTAATAGAAGCAATAAATTGAAAAGGGTTTTTTTTTCCCCATTTACTTTGTAAATTACTTCAGTTACCTCTTCTAAACCATCTGTTGCAGAGTCTACACCTTTATGGTGTTAATCGACTGGTTTGGCTCATTAGTCACTGGACATGGTTAGTATGGAGGATAATTATATTATCTATTCCCAGGACACAACGATCATGTTCAACAGAAGTTTAAGACACTTAACTGCCACTCCATTAGCTTTATTACACAGATTGTGAGAATATATTGAGAATTCACTCTTTTAGACACCTTCCAAACAACATGTATTTGATTTAATTAGATATATGGCCATTTTTCTTCTATTCTCTCACTATTAGAGAGGGAGTTATTTAGTTATAATGAACTCAATCGCCAGAGAAAAGAAATGTAAAATGGAGAAATGAACTTCCAAACATTATCTCCTTTCTTCTTCAGTATTCATGGCATAAGTTTACAACCTAAGGCATTGCAAGAGAGCTGAGGGTTTCTTTCCATACCAAAGACAAAGGGTGTAATACCAAGGATCCAAGATGATCTAGCTACCACCAACTGTTTTCCCACACTCAACTTTCCCCACTAGAAATCCATTTTCATTACAGACCTGCATCTACAAAGCATTAGATGAGTGTCAGATTTAAACAAAGTGATATTATTAATTTGGGGGATTAAAAAAGATATAGTGTAGCTGTTTTCAAACTTGGGACTGTGAGACAACAACAACAACAAAAATAGAGAAGCAGGTAAGATGCCTGAAAAATTCACTTGGCAAACCAAATGAAAAGGCAGAACCCCTTGAATTTAAGAAGGAAAACTTGAGTGATATTGGGGGATGGTCACAGAAAGACAAGAAGAGGTGAAAGATCACTCGTATTTTACCAACTGCAATCAGCAGTCACAACACATCTTCCTGTCACAAGGAGTTTGCAACAGGTAACATGTCACATTTTCACAGCTCTTTACCAATTCATGCTCTACACAGAAGAAGGCATATTTAGGTTTGTGGGCGTATTCAATACATATGTAACAAATATGCAAACATTCTACATCAAAATAAATAGTTGCATTTGAAAATTACCTGAAATGTCCCTGATGAAGAAATGTCACAGCTACAACCAGGTGGGAGACGTAGTGAAACTGACTCGTTCCCACAGAGGGCCTACCTGTGAGCCCACATTTTGAATCCATGGAGCTTTATAGCACTATTCCGTTCACCCTTACAGTGGACCTGGTTTAAACCCTTACAGAGGTCCAGAAAAGTATCTTGTAGACAGACTGGCTTCTGCAACTCAGGGTTTGATAACACTTTCTCCACCCCAAAAGCTCTAGTGAAATTCAGCATTTGGACTGAAGTTTGCTACAGAACAAGTCCTTGACAACTGAATGATTCCCCTCTGCATCACAAATAGTCTTGTTTCCCTGTTACAATGGACTTCTCTCTGGAGCCTTAAAAGAGTAGCACTTCAAGCATTTAAAAGAACAGTTGTGTTCCTTCATGCTGTCATCTCCCTTGATTTAAATTTGAAAAAGTTTGCAATT